GATTTTTAAAGCATAGTTGTTCTTTAATCTTCAAAACATACCAGAAGAAGCTAAGGTGGCGTTGGCTGTTCTTTGTATGGAAGGGATGGCTACTGTGTGGTTCCAATGGACGTTTAACAGGGCTTTATCTAAATTGACTCAGACCTCTACGTTAAGGGATTACATTCAACAATTTGAAGGATTGGTTAATCAAGTTCTAGGGCTTGATGATGACCTCTTTCATTTTTGGGTTACAATCAGAATTATGGAGCGCAGTGTAATTGAGAGAGCCTGTCTCTCTTCATCGAGCTATTCAACTTGTGTTGGCCTATGATGACCACTTTGGAGAACTGAAAGCGTCCTTCCAACCTGTTCAGAAGAGAATTTTTCCAAAAGTTGTTCGAACTGCTGAGGTGCCAACCAATCCCTTACCACTTGCATCCAGCATTGCTCAACAGAATTTGCCCTTACCTGCACTTTCAAATGTCAAGAAACTCTCTCAATCTGAGATGCTTAAAAAACGTGAATTGGGTCTACATTTTTATTGCGATGAAAAGTGGATGTCTAAACACCGGTGTAGAAGCAAATTGATGTTGTTTGTTGGTAATGAAGATGAGGTTGATCCAGATGATGGAGCTGAACAAATAATCTGGCAAGCTGACGTGAGTGGTAAGGAATCTAAGGATGCTTCTTTGCACTCTTTATCTATAAAGGATCACCTACGTTTCTTGTCTTTTTCACTCATATTAAAGATAAAGAGTTGTCAGTCTTGGTAGACTCTGGGAGTACACATAATTTCATTCAAAGGCATTTGGCTCTTCAACTTGGGTTGCCAATGGTGCATGTTCGTAGAATAAGAGTTTCCTTGGGTAATGGTGAATTCTTGGTGGTTGATAAAAAATGTTTGAAGGTTCCACTTGAGATACAAGGTTATTGTTTCCTTGTTGATTTGTGGGTATTAGATCTGACTAACCTCAGCATTGTCCTTGGCAAGCCTTGGTTAGAAGTGTGGGGGAGGGTCACTCACGATTATGTTCACAAGTCTATTGAATTTTGTTGGGACGGTAAATCCATTTGTTTGTTCAGTGTTAAGGATGTTCATAAGGAGATCAAATCCCAGAGTAGTTGTAATTTGTTACAAACACTTCCAACGCATGAGGTTGTGGAGGACGATTTGACGAAAAGTCAAACTGTTATGGACGAAGTTGCTGCTCTTGAAGGGTCTGTTTATCCCTCTCTTTGGCCAATTCTAGTTCGATTTCAGCAGGTTTTCTCACTTCCTTGAGGACTACCTCCTTTTCGTGGCCTTGATCATTATATTCATCTCCTGGATAAGGTGCAACCCATCAATGTTAAACCTTATCGATATGCATATCATCAAAAATCTGAGATTGAGCGACAGGTTGCTTACTTGTTACAAGCTGGCTTCATTCAACATTCCCAGAGTCCTTTTTCCTCACCAGTTCTTCTTGTTAGAAAACAAGAAAACTCATGGCGCCTTTGTATTGATTACAGAGCTCTTAACTCTGTTACAATTAAAGACCGTTTTCCCATTCTTACAATCGATGAGCTTTTGGATGAGTTAGGTGTCTCACAAGTCTTCTCCAAGCTAGACCTTCGAGTTGGATATCATCAGATTTGAATGCTACCATCAGATGTGTCCAAGACAATATTTAGAACCCATGAAGGCCAATACGAATTCTTAGTTAAGCCTTTTGGCTTAACTAATGCTCTAGCAACATTTCAAGTCATTATGAATCAGCTCTTTAAACTTTTCCTTCGCAGGTTTATAATTGTATTTTTTGATGACATATTGATCTTTAGTAAATCTCTGGAGGATCATGTTAAGCACCTTGAGCTGACATTGGATTGTTTGCTGCGTAATAGATTTTTTGTTAAGCTTAGTAAATGTTCTTTTGGTGTGGAAACAATTGAATATTTGGGTCACATAGTAGGCACAAATGGTGTTGTTGCAGATCCTAAAAAGATTTCATCCATGATCAATTGGCCTGTTCTTAAGAATCTGAAGCAGTTGGGGGGATTTTTGGGTCTTATAGGCTACTATAGACGTTTCGTCCGAGGCTATGCTTCTTTAGCATTGCCATTAACTAAGCTACTTAAAGGGTCAACAGAATTTGTTTGGTCGAAAGCTGCTGATGAAGCATTTTTACAACTGAAAGAAGCAATGGCAAACACTCCTGTCTTGAGCTTGCCTAACTTTGGAGAGCAGTTTATTTTAGAAACAGATGCCTCTATTGCTGGCATAGGTGCTATACTTTTTCAACATGATCATCCCATTTCATACTTTAGTGAGAAATTGGGTTATCGCATGACTAATGCTTCTACATACATTCGAGAATTATATGCTATCACTTCAGCTGTTAAGTGTTGGTGCCAATACCTATTAGGATCTCAGTTTATTAACGAAGTATTAAGGAATTTTTGACACAAACTATACACACTCCTGAACAACAGAGGTATTTGTGTATACTCATGGGATATTTTTTTTGCATTGAGTATAAGCCAGGTCGTACTAATGTAGTTGCTGATGCCCTTTCACGTGTTTATGAGGAAGGTGCCTTGAAGATGTTTCTATCTGAGCCTCAATTTGATTTGTCAGTTACTATCAAGCAACAGAATGGCTCGGATCCTGTTTTAGTTCAATTACATCAGCAACTACGTGATCAACCTGCTAGTCTACCTGATATACACTGTCAAGATGGAATTTTATTTCATAAGAAGAGATATTTCCTCAGCCCCACTTCATCTTTGATTCCTACTTTAATTTTGGAGGCTCACAACTCATTGATTGGTGGCCATGCTGGTGTTGCATGAACTTATCTTAGACTATTTGCAAATTTCTTTTGGAGCACAATGTGCAAAGATGTACAACGTTTTGTTAGTAGCTGCTTGACATGTCAGCAAGTGAAGTATGAAACTTCAAAAACTGCAGGCCTATTGCAACCTCTACCATTACCTGAAGGTGTTTTTGAGGATCTTTCAATGGACTTCATAATTCGTTTGCCTCCTTCCAAAGGGTACACTACTATAATGGTTATCATTGATAGGTTGTCAAAATTTGCATTTTTTGGTCACTTGCCTTCTTCTTATACTGCTATTTCGGTTGCTAATCTGTTCTGCGACTTGGTAGTTAGAAATCATAGATTTCCTCGTTCCATTCTTTCAGATCGAGATACTATATTCGTTAGCAAATTTTGGAATCATCTTTTTAAGCTTAGTGGAACGAAATTGAGGACTTCATCATCTTACCATCCTCAAACAGATGGTCTCACTGAAGTCACCAAACTGTATGTGGAACAATACCTTCGATCATTCTATTTCGAGCAACCAAAGAGGTGGTCAGAATATTTGTGTTGGGCTCAATATTACTATAATTCCGCAGTTCATTCTGCTATTGGAATGTCACCTTATCAGGCTGTGTTTGGCAAGCCCTCTCATATGGTGCCTTTTTATCCTCGTGGCTTGACTGATGTTCTACTTCAGCAACGCAATAAGATTTTGGCTCGCTTGAGGGTCAATCTTCATCGTGCACAAAATAGAATGAAGACACAATATGATCGACATCACAGTGAACGCTCTTTTGTTGTTGGTGACAAAGTTTGGTTGAAGCTTCAACAATATCGCCAAGACAGTGTAGAAAGGAGAGCTATTCACAAGCTTAGCAAACGATTTTTTGGTCCTGTTCTGGTTATTAAGAAGCTTGGTCCAGTAGCTTATGAGTTGCAATTAGAGGTGACAAAATGGGCTCAGCCCGCAGGGCCGGGCCGGTCCGCCTCGCCCACCAAACGGGGCAGGGCGAGACGGGCTGAGTTTTTCAAACCCGTTGCCCACCAAGCCCGCCCGAGCTATTTTTTTTTAATTTTTAGTGTAAAATATCACGGACTTGGCGGGTAGCCCGCCCCGCCAGCCCAAATGGGGCGGGGCGGGCTGAGATTTCTAGCCCACCTTCAAAGGCGGGGCGGGGCGGGCAACCCGCTTTGCCACCTCTAGATCCGTGACTTAGATACTCACTTATTTATCTATTGAGGTATTTCAGTTAGCTGTCTTTTGCAATTCACATACAGACGATGTTTTTATGAAATTGATTAAGTAATCAACTTGGCTAAGTTTAATGACGTCATAATTGAAAAGAAAAAGATATTCCGCATTTTTAATTAAGCGTGGCTTAATACGATGACATGTTAACAAACCGGGTATACACGAGGTGTTACACCAACTATGCTTGGTGAGAATATAGCACTCTCAAATATAAATTCGCTTAGATCATATGAAGTTATTGATAAAGTTAAAGAAGCACTAGAAAAAACGTGTCCAAGAGTTGTTTCCTGTGCAGATATCATAATCATGTCAGCTAGAGATGTTGTAGCACTGGTTAGTACTCATCTCTACAATTAAAGGGTAGTTTTGGTATTTTATAAAAAATTAACAATATTAATTGTAATTTTGGATGAAAAATTAAGTTAGGGGATAAATAATTAAAAAACTTTAAGTATGAGGATAAATGATTAAAAATTTGGGGGAGAGGTAAGTGATTCTGAAGAAACTTCAAGGGTTTTTTTTTTTTTTTGAAGTTTTCCCAAATAAATATTGGATTCACTTTTTCTACAATCAATGTAGATAACTTATGTACATTGAGCCCAAAACGACGTCGTTTTGAGGTAGAAATCAATGTATTTTTGTAATTATAATTTATTTCAGGGTTATAATAGTCTTTTTTATTATAATTTTTTAATTTTTCAATCCAAAATGACATTATTTTAAAAACGAACGTGGATAACTTATCTATATTCACTATAAAAATATTAAATCCATAAATATTATGGAGATCAATCAAAAGTGAGTGACATACAAAATGTATTACATAAAAATAACTAAAATAGGGCATTTTTGTAATTTAACACGTCGGCATCACACCTAATGTCTCCTACAACCCTAACGCAAAGTATACAGTGTCCCTTTTCTCTTCAGCAAACGCAGTCATCTTCTCCCTGCTGGGAAATGTTATCTTCCCTTCGCGGTCGTTGATTTCGCCGTCACCGCTATTTCCCCACAACATTCAAAACTCAATTCCCATCTTTCCCTTCAACATTCCCATCACTGTTCTCTTCACAACACACTCGCGTGAAATGCTCGAGCCTCGTCATGCATTCGTTCACCTCGATGGAGAACCGTGACCCCACTCGAAGGCCCGCGCGTGCGCGAAGAAACACCGGAACCGGTTGCATTTGCGTCGGGCACGTGGATGATTCAATCGATGGCATGGCGAAGCACTTGACCCTCTCATTCTTCACGACCCTTTGTTCAAGAAGCAGCAGCGTCGTTCGAGCCTCCGATGCCGGCGCCGTCGACTGTCGCCTCACGGAGGACATTGGTTCGATCAGAATGGCTGAAGCTTGGTTCGTTAAGATCGCTTGTACCGTTTTGGTTCGCTCTAACTCACTCGACAAGTTCTTAGGTTATTTTAGTAAGCACTTAACTCCTTCGCTTGTTTTGGAGGTTGTTAATAGGGTTAACGCTCCTAATTTGGGGTTTAAGTTTGTTGAATTCAGTAGAGATAAGTTGCATATGAATCATTGCTATTGGACTTATAATGTGCTTTTGAGGTCCCTTTGTCAATCGAATCTTCATAATTCCGCGAAAATTGTGTATGATTGGATGAGGTGTGATGGTCAGTTTCCTGATAATTGGTTGTTAGGGTTCTTGGTTTCGTCCTATGCCCTCGTAGGTAGGTTCGACATCTCGAAGGAATTGCTTGCTGATTTTCAGGGAAATAATGTTGGTGTCAATGCTGTTGTGTATAATGACTTGTTCAACATCTTGATAAAACAGAATAGGATTGGTGATGCTCTTGTTCTGTTTGGGGATCTTATCCGGTTGCGGTATCGGCCCGCAATTCACACGATCAATATTTTAATCAGAGGGTTGTGCAGGGCAGGGAAGATTAATGAGGCTTTTAAACTTCTCCGTGATTTAGGGAGTTTTGAATGTTCGCCTGATATAGTTACGTATAACACTCTTATACATGGTTTATGCCGAATTAGTGAAGTTGATAGAGCTAGAAATCTGCTAAATGAAGTTTGTTTGGGAAGGGAGTTTTCCCCTGATGTTGTTAGTTATACGACAATAATATCAGGTTATTGCAAGTTGAGTAAGATGGAGGAGGGGACTTTGCTTTTTGATGAAATGATTAGATCTGGAACAAAGCCTAATACATTTACTTTTAATGCTCTTATTGATGGTTTTGGTAAGATAGGTGACATGGCTTCTGCGCTAGCCTTGTATAAGAAGATGCTTGTTCATGGTTGTCCTCCCGATGTTGTTACTTTTACTTCACTAATTAATGGCTACTTTAGAGTTGGACATGTGAACAGTGCCTTGGAAATGTGGCATGAAATGAATGACAGAAATATTTCTGCGAGTTTATTTACGTTCTCTGTTCTTGTCAGTGGCCTTTGCAATCACAACAGACTACATGAAGCCCGTGACATTTTGAGAATTCTGAAGCAGAGTGACATTTTCCCACAACCATTTATCTACAATCCTGTTATTGATGGATATTGCAAATCTGGGAATGTTGACGAGGCTAATAAAATTATAGCAGATATGGAGGAGAAGAGGTGCAAGCCTGATAAGTTGACCTATACCATTCTTATTATTGGGCACTGTATGAAAGGGAGGATGCCTGAAGCAATTGGTATCTTCGATAAGATGTTGGCAGTTGGTTGTGCCCCAGATGAAATCACAGTAAATAATTTAAGTACCTTTCTTTTGAAGGCTGGAATGCCTGGTGAAGCTGCCCGCATTAAGGAAGCTCTATGTCAGAACCTGTCCTTGGGTTCTTCACCATCAAAGAAATCTTATAATGAAAGTACAACTTCAGAGTTGCCCATTGCTGTATATTGAAGTGCCATTGCAAACCAGTGGTTAGACATGGCCTTCCACCATTATGCCTTGAGTGCTGGGTGCATGCGTTCAGCTTGTGGAACATAGGAATGCAATCGTCGGGCAGAGTGTCTCTATTTTCTGGAGACTATCAACATTTGCTTTTGCATTGGTATTCCCTCCACGTTTCTGCGGATTGTTTTTGAACCTCAAGTTAGGTATACTCTCTAGTTAATCTTGTTGAGTAGATTTCTCATTCTTCTAAATTTGAAAATTTGTTTCTTATGTGAAATTGGTTCTATTTTGCTCTAGTTATTGCAATGCAGTGCTAGTAATTTAATTTTCTTTTTCATTTGAAAGTACATTTTCTGAAATCATTCTCATCCTTAGAGATTGTGTTGAAAGATTTAGGCAAAATGCTAGGAACCCTTTTAACTATAGGTCAATTGCAGAAAACCTTCTTGTTCAAAAGTTAGCCTCTCAACTTCTTGAACTTAGCAAACTGTGCATATGGACTCCTTAAAGGTGGTTTTCTACACTTGCATGAGGGGTTGAATTTACACTATGCAAGGTTTGGTAAGCTCTGGGAGTTAAGTTGCCGAGTTTTGAAACATAACGGAGTTTTCTACAACCTATAGTTGGAGGCGGTTATGTGCATTTTTGCCAAATATTTATTATCTTTTTGGGGAATTAGATTTTTTTTGGGTATATCTTGTAATTCTTTCTGAGGAGAAGTAGCAACTTACTTTAGTGTCAAGAAACAAACTTTTCCAAACTTTTCTTCAATTTTCTCTCTGTCTTGAATTAAGATTTAGGAAATATTGTATTTGTATGCTTTAGAAATCATCCTCCTTTTGGGTTCAAGGTGAGGGAAAGGTATCTCTGAACTCACTTCAATTTTTTTGTTATCATGCTGGGAGAGAGCAAACAAAGACATTCTAAGAATTCCCAATATGTTATACTTCCATATGATTGAGAACGTGATATATGAACCCTGACTCTTGTTCCCTTTGCCATTCAAAATTGTGCACAAAATATTAGGATTGGGCTCAAGGGGAACAGGTCAATAGGATTAAGATTTGATATAGGTAGCTTTGAATTTTGCATGGTAAGATACTTGGAATAAAGCATATAAGAGGCATTTGTATCGATACAGGAAATTTGAATTATTTTCCTAGGTTTGAAATTAATAACTTATATTGTATTTTATGCATATGATGTCAAGGAGCATGGCTTTTTTCTGGCCTAAAGTTATAAATGGTGCAGCTCGAGCAAAAATAAATTTTCTACCTAACACGGAGATGAATAAGTTTAAAATCTCTTTAATTGAGGGTTAATCATGTTCAGGGATTTATAACAGATCGAGTGGGATTATCTAAGAGTCTAATACGATGTTATCGAAATTTGATGATTTACTTATTTGTAGAATTGTTTTTTTTCTTTTGGCAGGTATGGCATTGGTATTTTGAATTGTAACTGTGAACGCCTAAATCCCAATCCCGGGGTGGATAAGATACTTTAAATCACTGAAGCCTTGATCTTAAGGCCTTGCAGGTTCCGAGACAATGCATGTCTTAGGTTTTGGAAGTATTTGGAGAGGCCCCGTTTTCATGCTTCACCATCCCCAGCATGATACAAATGTGAATGTCAATGAGTTTAACGTGGTTGTTAACTGGTTCGAAGCTTGCCACTGATGTGTAAGGAGATAAGTCATGTCGTACGAGATTTTATGCTTAAAAGTTCATTTTATCATTGGCTAATGGCTGACCTTTGGGTTTAAATTTATCTGTTGAATTAGGTTTTCTATTCATCTTTTTTTGGACTGATGAATAGTAGTTTTATCAGATGTTACTAAGGGGGACGCATGACCCCAAGGATTTTCGCCCATGTGCTGAAATTGTTTGATTCTTTTTGGACTGTGTAAAGTACTATGTAATAAAAAAAAGTGCGAGTTTCCCATAAATGAGAAGAACCGAAGGTAAGGTCTCTTTATAGTTGAATTGAATGCAAGTTCACGGTCTGCATTTCTTCAACGGAGAGTTCTATGTTGAGCTGTAAAGCTGTTGTTTTTCAAATTCCAAAACTCTGCATCCATGTTAAATATTGTCTTGTTCAGCTGTTGGTTTATCTTGTCAACTTCAAAATCTTTAGCCAAAGTTTACATAGCTGGTCACGAGCTTAAATAAAATCAGAATTGTAATAGTTCGTAGGCAGCTAACTTAAAATTTTATCAAGACTTCTATGACTGATCAAGTATTGAAAAGAACTTTGTTTAACTAATTTAACTGAAAATTTGATTTATTAACTAGAGTTTAAAAGTGTCTATTCATTAATGGAATGTAATCAACTTTGTGGGATAAAGTTTGATGTCATGGTTAGTTCATAGTCACGAAAGGCGGAGGGTGTGAGAATTCCAAATTCTGAAAGTACGGCTAATGTAAATGCAAATATTGCAATATTATTAACTTTGAACAAAAAAATACTTTAGTAATATTCCTAAGATTTGTTCTAGAATAAAAAATATTTATTTTTTTAATTAATGATGTACCTATGGCAGAATATACTCATAAGTTACATCTCTCAATGACCTAGGTATTTCAATCAGTGACACTGAGATCCACATATGCTGGAAATTTCCAACTAGGAGTTTCCACTAAATCACACTAAGATTTTAATTTCAATCAGTGAACTATGTTTAGATTTCAGACATCTATCTGCCAAAAAAAATAAAAACAAAGACAAAGAGCAACTTTTTTTTGAGTATGGCCCACTTTGCAAATTGAATAAGCTTCCAAACTTTATTATCAACAGAAGCACTAATAATAGCCTTTCTATGCACAAAAGTGTATAATGATTGGGTTTCCTTGGCTAATACCGTAAGTAGGCCAAAAGCCCCCATAACATTTTCATGTCAAGTTAGTTCCATTGAGGTAGTAGAAATACAATACAAATTTACTTTCACAATTTTATAAGGTATATTAATATCAATAAAAAGTGTCCTGAACGATGTCGCACTTCAAATCCTTAACCCATGACAACTGTTACACGTGTGCAACGTGGAAATGAGTCGCGCAGGCGTGCAGCTTGCCTTGCCGGAGAGTCATTGGTTGTTGAACTGTGATATCCAGATATATTTGTTTAATAATTCACGTGTGATATAATTAATTTTTCTACAAAGCCGTTATTTTTTTTTAAAAAGAAAATAATTTGCAGTATACGTGGTGATAATTTGTGGATTCGCTTATCACTATCTAATCTAGTCTAGAAGAAATGAAACTCGAATTATCCTCAGTTCCATATTGTGATTTTGATTTTGACTATACGTAACATCTAATCAGTTAGGCTTTACTTGTCAAGAATGTAATACAAAAAATGTGATGTGTCTATGTAGATGAAATCAGCCACACGGTTTTGTTGATTTTTTTTTTCTCTGATCTTAGTAGAATACCAAAATATTTGTTTTTAGTCTTGTCTTGTCTTTATTTATTTTTTTCTCGCATGCGTTGGCACGCGCACGGAGGAAGAACGAAGAATGACGCGGCATACGAAATTTCTAAGGCACAAGGTTTGTAAAGTCAATTTGGCAAAATATTTTTTTTTCTAGAAATTATGGTTTAAATGTTTGGTAAAATTCCATAGAGAAGTTGAGAAAATGTGCTGGTTGTAGTTTGATTGATTTTTTCATCCTAGTTTTTCGACCCATATACGTGATGTTTAGTTGTATACGTAACAAGAATAAACATTATAAATTGACAAGTCTTCCCCCTCATTTGGGTGTATTTTCGCTGCACGTTTAAAATTTATCCACTTCATGGTATACGCGAGATAAAAATAATTACAACTAATACTTTTGTATTAATTGATGCAAAACTTACAACTAATTAATGTTGCATGTCCATTGTGTCGTATGGATCAATGTTATAAAAACCGGACCGACCCGGAAACCGGTGAACCGATTATGTAACGGATCCGATTTTCATATTAGACCGGCCATGTTACAGAATCGGTGTGACCCGGTGCGACCCGGCAGATTTTCGTAAAAACCGGTGATCCGGTCGGTTCAACCAGTGTCCTGACCCGGTCTATAAAAAAAACTAATTTATTTTTATAAATTAATGTCTTCTTTTCTTTTTACTCTCAAACACAAATGATTTATTTTCTTTTGAAATATTTAAGTGATTTGTAGCTTATTAACTTACATAGATTATGTACCTACAACACTAATATTATCTTGATTATGCAATATGCAGGAAATTTTGATTTGATTTATAGTTAGAGATGTCGTTTACTGAACCTGAATCACTAGTATCACAAATATTATATGTTTGATTGATCTTTTGTTGGACAATGATATGTAATTTATTATTTTCATATTAAAATATTTGAAATTGGTATTTTTTTTTACAAGAATTTAAGTATATTTATAGTTTTTTTAATATAAATTGTAGATTTGCATATACTTACCGGGTTATGCGGTTGAACCAATGACTCACTGGTTGAACCAGTGACCCAGTACCTCGACCGAGTCAATAACCGGGCCGAGTTTAATAACATTGGTATGGATAGTAAAATTAGAAATCTATGTCAAAATAACAATATATCACATGATAAAGCTTTGGTTTTTCATCCAAAATGAGATGGGAGAATTTTAAAGTTTAGTACGAAAGATGTTATGCTCCGGCTAGATTGCCCTGCTCGGCTAGTTTAAATGGCTGTCTAGTGGGACCACCATCATCTTTCATGTAGAGCACATGACAACCTTGCTCATGTGCCCTCTTACATTTTCCAAGCATGCATAACCCTTTTATGCGTCATGGGTTATGCAGCCTCACACCTAGTACAGCTCACAAGGCTGAAAACAGTTATGGCACCACGCTTTGCGAACTTATGGGTAATCTCTAACCTCCTATCTTAAAGGGCCTTCGCTTCGTCACTATGGATCTTCTCCATTCATTCTCCATTATAGTTACTCCGCTGAACTCTCACCTTCGCCATGGTTGTAGCCATTAAACACTTCTCCCTTTTTGCACCCTCAGCTCTAATGAGGCTATTGCAGAGATAACTCAGAGCTTTTATTCATACCATTGCTTCACTCATCTCCCTTAGATTGATAAACTTTACCTTCTTGGGACACAGATCTGTAGCCTCATAATTTGATCCAGTTCAAGAGAGAAAGAGAGAATCTTTTTCCTTTATCCATTAGGGATGGTTTAACTAAAATAAATAAATCAAAATTAGGATGTGTGAGATAAAATCAAGTTTAATAATAAAATATCCCCACTTCATCAATATCAAGTATATATGAGATAAAAAAATAATTGCAACTAATAGTTTTGTATTAATTAATGCAAAAACTTACAACTTATTAATGATGCATGCCATTGTGTTGTATCAATAGTAAAAATTAGAGCTTTATGTCAAATTAACAATATTTCATAAAGCTTTGTTTTTTAATCCAAAATGAGATGAGAGATTTTTAAAGTTGAGTATACAAAAAAAGAGAAGGTCTTGTCCTTTCTTAACTAAGGATGGTTTAGCTAAATTAAGAAAAATAAAATACTTGCAACAATTAGGCTTGATTTCTATATAACTCTTTTTTTGTAACACTAAAGGTTAGCTCAAGATGAAATATTATTTTCAAGATGGATGAACTGCCAAAAGAGCAAGTATTCGAACCCCGAAGAGGATCTTGGGGGGTTAGAGTTAAATAATTACCATGCTACTCGACTTAGGATTAGTCTGGGGCCCCTTTCCCTACCCAAGTCATGGGATACATAAGAGAGTTTACTCGCCCTTAAGGGATAACTATAATAATGGAATTTCAAAAAAAGGAAAAAAATTATTTATAAAAAAATTCAAAAAATATTTTACTAAAATAAGGCAATATTGTACATGTTGGCATATCATGTGTGTAAGAAGTTTCCAATTCCATAAGCAAAGAGACTATATTTCAATATTGAAAATTTGAAATTATTACACATACAGATAGAAACACAAAATCAGAAGCCAAAATGGCCTTTAAAATTAAAGAGGGAAAGAAGAAACCAACTAGCAATGGGATACCCAAACTTGGTCAAGTATTTTATTACATATTGTAATATTATTACAGGCAATACTATCAGTTTTGGTCCCGCTTGATTGTCCTACCAGGTTAGCTTGAATGGCTGCTCGACGGGACAACCATTACTCAGCATGTGGAGCACATGACTCCCCTGCGCATGTGTCCCCTAACACTCCCAATGCACGCTGGACCCTTTACATGTCATAGGTTATGCTACCTCATACCTAGTAGGGCCCACATATCTTAAAATGGTAATGACATCACACTTTATGCATTAGGAGGAATCTCTAACCTTATATAAAGGGACCTCTACTCCCTCACTATTCATCTTCTCCATTCACTATACATTGTTATTACTCTGCTGAACTCTCACCACAACCAAAATCGAAACCCTTACACACTCCCCTCTTAGTATCCACAGCTTATCTGAGGATTATTCGGAGGTACCTTAGAACTTTGGTCTATACCACTGCCTCTTCTATCTCTCTCAGATCAACATACTTCACCCTATTGGGACACAAATTCGCACCTTTATACTTTGACTCAATTCACTATCTGACTCTTCAAAAGAAAATTGGAGGGCATCTTTTGGCCTTTGAAAGGTGCTGGTCAAGGTTCATCAAATGCACAACTAAGCGTAAACATTCCATTAAATATCACCTAAAATAAATTTGCAAGCATGCAAAAACAGTAACAAATTTTTGTAGTAGAAGCAAGGCTACAAACAAGTATTGTTATTTAAAAATCTGATGATCCACAAAAGAATTTTGCAAAAGTCGCAAATCTTATTCGTCATCTTTGACTTTCACACGAACCTTGTGGAGTTAGGGGATTTTGGATGCAAAATCAGTTTAGAATTTTAGGAAATTTGGAATCATAAGGGTTGGGTAGTTTGATTCGAAAAG